GAGGGGGTGGGTGACTGGGTGGGGGGGGATGTGGTGCTGTGGGAGCAGCATGGGCCCTGAGGGGAGGCTCCCAGCCAGCCTCACCTCTGCTCCATCTCCTGCTTCATGTCGATGCCCTGCTTCTCCAGCAGCTCGCGCTGGGCGAAGGCCCAGTCCACAGGCTCTGAGGGAGTCTCCGCGCAGGGCGTGCGCTCGCGCTCCTGCCGCGCCTGCTCAGGGTGGTTGAACCGGAACACGTGGCTCTTCCCCATGATGATGCGGTTTCCTGAGGGACAGAAGCCAGGTTGAACTAGGGGCACCTGCCCCCTCGGGTGGCCTCGGGTGGTGGGGAGGAGAGGGAAAAGGGGGAGCGGTCCCTTCCTCGAATTAGGCTCCCAGCATCTCCCACCTCAGGAACCACCCCCGGGTCCTCAGCTCTGTGGAACTCCTCCGCTTGCCCCTGGCCCAGACTTCAATGGACCTCCTCACTTGCCCCAAATCCACCCTCTCAGCCCCTCCCCTTCTGTAGCCAGGGATGTTTGCAAAGTGCAGTCCCGGGCTTTCCCCATGTCCCATCCTTGCCATGGTGCCACCCCATGCCAGGCTCTCCTCCCAGCCTGGCGCCTCGAGCCAATGCTCTGCCTTCCTGAATGCCCACAGCCCTGGGAGCAGACGGGCCCCACCGGCGGAGGGGGCACGGGCCTTCTGCCTGGCTGTACCTGACCGAAGGATGCTGGGCTCCGTGACTTTCTTGCCATTGACGTAGGTGTCTGCCCCCTCACAGGGCTCCAGGGTCACCACGGCTACAGGACAGATAGGGGGACAGACAGAAGGCCTGTCAGGAGCTGTCATCCTGGGTGCCACGCCCTCCAGCTACCTGCAGGGCTCTGCTCACCTGGCACCCATGGGCAGCCCCACCACCACTCTCCTCCTTGCTAGCAGCAAAGCCTTAACTGTTAGTGGCACCTTTTTGGGCCTCAGAGAAGCCGAGGGGTCACACTTGACTAATAGATGAGGAGAGTGGCACCCTGTCAAAGAGCCAGGAGGCTGTTCTGGGCTGACCACCAACCCTGTCAGGCTCTCCAGGTGGGCAGCATGTCCCCAGGAGTCCCGGAGCCTCCCTGGCTCTGTGCCCGCCCACTCAGGGGAGGGCAGGCTTTGGGGACAGAGAATTCTGGGAGAGCCAATGTCTCCAATATTGTTTAAGGCCACCACCCTGAAGTGTCCCAGTTATACAGCAGGTGTCGGCCACTGTGTGCAGCCCAGAGGTTGGCTGGACACCTGGCCTCAGCTGTAACAACACTCTGACCAGCAGGTGCTCCCCTAGACATCACACCCAAGACAGGCCATGTAGACAGACGGCAGACAGGCAGGGAATGGGCCGGTGGCCGCTCCACAGACAGCGGGAAAGTGTGGTCCAGAAATAATTCTCCACCCTTCACCTGGCTGGCTCCCCATGGCTCACTGTCCTCCCACCCAGGATCACCCCAAAACACACCGACACAGGAGAGGCTGCCCACAGCCCCAGCCTAGTCGCCCAAGCCCGTCTGATGGAGAGGCTTCCCAGGACTGACCGGGGATCTTGGAGGTAATGAGCTGGCCTGGGCTGACCGGAGGCTCAGCAGCACTGGGGTGGGGTGAAGAGTAGCAGTACCTTCACTCCCGCCTCTGGAGTCGCTCCGGAAGACACAGTGCTCCTCCTTGATGAAGTGCCCGCTCAGGACGATGTCCTGCCGCCTCTCCCCGTCCTCACGGCCCACTCTGTGGGGAACAGGGGGAGCACAGTCATCAATGACCAGGGCACCCAGGATGCCACCTGCTGGCTCCCTCCCCACTTCCCCTGCAGCCTCCAGGGACACCTACCTGGGCTTTAATGGGAAACACCCAAGATGCACATGAGTGGGGGCACATGGAATACCCCCAAACAAAGCCAATCCTGGGAGAGTCACTCGGCCCAGAGTAGCCAGAGCATCACTTCCAGGAAACATGGATGGGCCCTCACCCCCACTGCTGCCCCACCCGTGAGCCTGCTCCACCTGTGAGCCACCCCACCTGTGAGCCCACCCCACCTGGTGAACCACCCCACCTGTGAGCCTGCCCCACCTGGTGAGCCCATCCTTGATATAGTAGAGAAGACACTCAGACATCAGCGGGTCCTCGTTCAGGTTGACAAGATGTGGCGTCTAGGGAGAGAGGAGGGTCACCTGTCTTGCAGGGAGCAGGAGCCCAGCACTGGCTGCCTACCTGACCTCTCTCCCTGGGCACCAGACCACCACCAATGCTGGGCCTGGCCTCGTGCGGGACACAGCATCCTTCCAGCTTGGCAGGGAGGACAGGACACATGAAGGAAAAGTTTCCCAGAGGAAGAGCCTTTGACGGGGACTCCACAGACTTGGAGGGGACAGCCAGGTAGCAGGCTGGGTAGGGGCTCAGCCTTGGCACTCAGGGGGAGCTGGGCTTTGAGAGGGACTGGGAACCCAGCTCTCAGCACTCAAGGGCCCAGGGGCGCTTGGAGTTGTGGTGGGCACCCAGGAGCGAGGGCTCCAGTGGGCACTCGAACCAAGGAGTACAACTCTGGCCAAGAAGGCCTCAGACCCTGGCAGTGGGAGCAGAGAGGTTGTGAAAGTCTCCACCCAAGTCGACAACCCCCCACCATGCCTCTCCTGTCCATGGTCGAGCAAAACACAGTCCAAAGCCAAGGTGACCATCTCCCCCCAGTGGCCCCTGTCTAAGTACTGCCCTGGACTCCCTGCTCCACTCTGTCCCCAGGGCAGCTGCTGCAGGCTCTGCCCGCTGGGGCCCGACGCCCCACCTCCATCCCTCTGATGCTCTCCTCCCATCCCTCAGCTCAGGAACCACCACACTGTGTCCTGGGCGAGAGCCCTGCAACAGGCAGAGGCTGGGACGGCTTCCTCAGTTCCCACCTGACACCTCGGGGCGCGCTGTCCCCACCCCGAGCTGTAAGTCCCTCAGCACCCCACTCACGCGCCCGTGCAGGGCTGTGAAGACCTGGTCATCAGACTCCCGGTCAAACCATCCCCAGCCACCCCAGCCCAGAGCAGGCGTGTGTGGAAGGGCTGTGCTTGCCGGCTGGGCTCAGTGAGGGGACCCAGAGTCCAGGAACACTGTGTTTCTCAGGAGGAGGTGTCTGCAGTGGTCCCCAGGGACGTCCTCCATACCCAGGGCGACCAACGAAGCGAAAGAACTGCAGGGCACCCAGCACCCTGAGGCCCCTGCACCCACAGCTCCACAAGCCAGCCTGGGGGCGCCCCACCCCTCCAGGAAGGAGCAGGGTCTGAAACAGCCCAGGAACAACACACTCCAGAAAACCAAGGCCTCTCCAGAAGGGACGTGAAGTAAGACCCCATCAAGGCCCTGCCTGCTCCCCACTCTGTCCCAGGTCCCCCCAACACGCCTCCCTCCTGCCACTCAGCATGCACTGTCCCCCAGCCTGGACTGTGTGGGGGCAGAAGCCCAAGAAGCCTGGTCCCATTCCAGGGAGCCCACCAGACCAGTGCCCTTGGCTCCTCTTCCCTTGGAGCCCCCAATGGCTCAGTGGGGAAACACAGACTGGCAAACACAGAATCCATTTGCCCCAAACAAAGCTGGGGTAAAAAGCTGACCACTGGGGGCTGCACTGTGGGAGGAGGCCCGGTGCCCCCTCACCAACAAGGTGGCAGGGGCAGGGCCTGGAGAGCCACTACCCCTGCCTCCAGGGAGGGCCCCTGGCTTGGAGCTCTGCTCCTAAGGGCCCGAAGGATCTGGCAATCTTTGGGGTGGGTGGTGGTGTCTGGGTCCTAGAATCACCAGAGACTTTTCCCCAAATGCTCCATCTGAGCATCGGAGGGGGACTCCGTTGGAGGGCTCCCCGATGGCAAACCCTGAGACCCTCCTAAGACAAGGTCTGCTGAGCTCTGAGAGGGAGCTGACTCCCAGCCCCGTGTCTGGCCCCGCCCTGTCTGTGGGCAGCACAGGCTCCAGGTAGGGTCCAGCCTGAGTCTGGTTTCCAGTGTCACCCTGACCTGGACAAGCACCCCAGCCCACTTCCCAAGGCTATAGGGAAGCCCCGCCCTGAGGAGGGGGGCTGGGTCTCACACAGGGAGGGCCCGTCTGTGGTGGGTGTGGGCCCTCAGGGCCTGGACCCCCCTGCTGTACGCCCACTCCTTCTAGAGGACTGAGACCCCTCAAAGGCTGCAGGGGGCCCAGGCCTGTTCAAGCCAGGCCCCACAAAACAGGGACCTGCTCCTACCTTTTTGGGAGAGAATACACCCAGAGTGCCGCCATCCTCCCTCATGGCCACGCCCATCTCGGCCAGCAGGGCTTCCCTGGAGGGAAGATGGGGGTTAGCTCAAACCTCAAGAGGCCACAGGACCTACCTCCCCCACAAGTGTCCGGGAGCCAGTGGTGCTCCGGCCACACAGTCCAAGGCAGAGCCCAGGCAGTGACCCATCTGGTCAGTGAGTTAAGGTGTCTGCTTGGAGGTACAGATCACCTGATCAGGTCTGTGGGACCACAGGACAGGACCTGGGGGTCACCAGGTGAGAGAGGATGGGTCTGCCGGAGCCCAGGGCTGGAGCGCAGAGCTGTGCTGACCCTGTGTCCCCACCACCCACCTCTCCATCCGGATGGCTTCCGTCCGCCGAAGCTTTTCCTCCCAGGTCTCGTTGAGTTCGGCTATGATCTTCTCTGTCTCCTGGGGGGCGACACAGAGCAGAGCGAGGTCAGGGGCCAGGCAGAGGGGAGACGAGCAGGGCTGCAGAGCACCAAGACCCCCATGCCCAGTCCACGCTGGAGCTTGATTTCTGAAGGATCCAGGGCTGAGGGGTAGTGTGAGCTCAAAACTGTGTGCTTGCCTCTGGACACACCCAGGGAACGGAGTAAAAACAGTGACCCCGGAGGGAGAGGCGTGGGCTGGTTCTGATGCACAGATGCTATCAACACTTCCTGTTTGCTTCCAGCCCCACACCCTGGTGGACCCCACATCCAGGGGGGGCCCCACCCCATGTGGGCCTATGCCCAGGGCCCCTGCCCCCTGGTGCCCCACCCCAGCCTGGAGTCTGGCCTCTGTGCTTTTGAACCCTAAACCCTTCCGTCTCCAAGGTCTGGGCTCACCCTGCACCCAGGAAAACAGGACAGAAAACCTAAAACCAGCCTGGCTCGTTGCAGGGGGTGAGGGAGTGACTGTGGACACAAGGGGACCAGAGGGGAAAGGCTCGCAACCACAGAAGAGCCAGGAGGGGAGGCAGAGCCCCCAGGACACCCACCCCCCTGTCAGCAAGCAGGGCCCCGTGGTGCTGGGTGGAGAGCAGTGACAGGTGGAGGGGGCGCCCGGGGCACGGCCTCACCTCCTGCCTTTAACAAGAGGGCTCGGCCCTGGGCCCAGAGGAGGGGGCCTCCCCGGGAGGCGAGGCCATGCCCACGGCTCCAAGCTCAGTTTCCCAGGGCCTGGTGCCCGCTCTGGCCCTGCCCTCACCTTCAGCCTTTCGATGGCCTCCTCACTGCCCGGGGCAAACAAGAGGCGCTCGTGCAGACTGGACACAGAGGCCGCGCGGCTGGACAGGGCCGAGAGCGAGGATGAGGGGCTCATGCCCACCAGGGCGTTGGTCACTGTGGAGAGATTGTCAGGGGCTTGACTCAACTCCGCCCAGCCACAGTTACGGTCATTGTTGTCAAGGTCAGACAGGTCTACGGGAGGAAGGGAGGGAGAGGGGGGCAGACAGACGGGAGGGAGAGAAAAGAGACACGAGTTGGGAGGTGGGTGAAGAGAAGGCAGAAAACAGAAACTATTAGTGAGGCGCAGCTGCCAGGCGCCGGGCAACACATGCAAGGCCACCTGTCACCCCACATGATGGGCCCTGCCCCACCGCCCGCCCCTCCCGCAGCAGCATAGCACCATCAGGACCCCCAGAACCCCTCGCTCCACTCCCCTGCCCTGGGCCAAGGCCTCTCTGTGTTCCCTGCACCTGCATGCCAAACCCGCGCCACCCAGGCTGCCTTCAGCCTCTGAACCTGAGCTGCGTGAGCTCCATGGCTCCTCCCGCCCTGTCCACTTCCCTTCCCCGTCACTGGGCCCTGACACTCGTGCTCATCCTTTCTGCTGTGGGCGCCCCCCTCTGCCCACCCCTCACCTGGCCCACAATGCATCTCTGAGCTTCGGGTCAAGCTCTGCTGGCCACCCCTGGAGGGACCCTTCAGGAAGCCCCTACTCCTCCACCCCCGAGAGGCTGCTCTGAGCATGGAGTATCCCAGCACTGGGCACCCAGGGAGCCCCAGCCACACCAGGGCCCCAAAGGCCCCAGAGTTGGGGCTGTGACACCCCTTAGGCCCCTCCTGGCAGAAGCAGACGTGGAGCAAAGCAGCAGCAAACGGGACAGCACGGGGTACCAGGGAAGCCGAGAGCCCCTCCACCCTTGGGGTTGGGAGGCACTGAACTGTGCCCTTGCTCAGGGAGCCAGGCCCAAGGCCAGCAGGGGTCACAGGCGGGGAGGATCTGGCAGCAACCAGACTCTTGGCATTTCCAGAGGGAAAGGGCCTTGGGGCATGAAGGGCCCGAGAGAGGTCGGGGCCAGGAGCCAGGGACGGACCGGGCCTCCAGCACTGACACTCGGGAATCCCCAGGCCTCTGGGGCACATGGGGGCCAGGAGCCTGAGCCCAGACACTTTTAGTCTGAAGAGGCCTTGGCAGTCCCTTGCCTCCCTGGTGCTTCATACACACAGGGATGTGACCCCAAATCTACCAGAAGGGCACCTGTGAGAGGGCTGTTGTCCCAGCCCCTAAAGAGGGGGTGAGCTTGCCCCTCCCCGCTGTCCCTGGGCCTCGCCCCTCCCGCTGGGCTGCCCCACACCCTGAGGGCAGGTGGCAGAAGCAGGGATGCACAGAGAGCAGCAAGGGGATACACACATTTGGGTCCTCCGGGCACAGTGTTGGCTAAGGGGGAGCGGAGGCGTGGGGGAGGGAGGAGAGACAGAGAAACAGAAGAAGAGGTTTGTCTCGAGAGTCCGGGGCTGCCCGTCCCAGGCCAGGCATCAGGCAGGCAGCTCTGGTCTTCAGCGGGGACACAGGGACCCCCGCACCCATGGCATGCCAGCATGGCTTCTGGGGAGACCATCTCTGGCCTGCTTGGGCCAGCACCAAACCCAAACCACGTGGTCCCCCCAGGCCAAGGCCAGTACCCAGGCCTCCCATCCAGGGCAGCTCTGCCAGGAACAAGGCAGGGGCTGGGACTGGGTCAGAGGGACCTCAGTGGCAGCCTGACCCACCCCAGTCCAGGAGGGAATCCCAGGAGGGAGGCCAGGCTGGCCCAGGAGGTCCCTGGGGACCCACAGCCTGGTCCCCCTGCCCAGGACAGGCGGACACAGATACTCACTGTCGGTGATGTCCCCAAGTCCCTGGGCATACAGCAGGTCCCGCAGCCGGGTCACCTCATCCTTCAGCTCACGGATCAGTTTGTTGTTGGGGTCCTCGTTGATGACGGCGTTACAGCGGATCTGCTTAGCCCGGTCCGCGTACCTGGGCAGCAGAGGGAGCTGTGGCTGTGCCCATGCTGGCAGGCCCAAGGGTTGGGGGGGCGGGCAGAGCAAGGGCCTGGGGCTTGGGCAGAGCAAAGAGTCACCCCACTGGGAGTCAATGGGGCCATTTCCACGAGACCTACAGGTGGGGTCACCCTGCCCTAGCTCATCCACTTAGGGAAACCCAGGCCCCAGGAGAAGGGATGGGGCGGCATCTTCTCCCTACGGAGAGGCCTGGGCTCCTGGACCTCGGTTCCAGGGTGGAGGGAGCCCGTGGGGGATGTGAGAACATCCACGTGTTTGCCTGTCTGAGCCCGAGCCTTGCTCAGCAAATGCACACGTAGGTACAGAGGGGAGCGTGTCCCGTGTCCTTTTTCTCTTTACTACCAGCGGTGCTCAGTCAAAAGGACCCAAGATGCTGACCTGGCTGCTAGCGCAGGAGCCCGGGCTCCCCCCGAAGGGTACCCGCCTGCAGCCAGGGGGACCTTTAAGACACCCTCAGCCCTCTGCTAATTAAAGATCCGCAGTGGCTCTCGTGACTGATAAGGGCTGCAAGCTGCTCAGCCCACAAGCACAGCTCTCCCAGTCGTTTGCACAAGGGCCCTTGGCCACTCGTAGCCCCAAAGTGTACCCCAAAGGGTTATGGGAATGGAACAGGTCCCATGGAGACCCAGGCACCCCTGACAGCAATTGGAGCCTCAAGGAGTCCCAGGTGAAATGACCTCCCCAAGAGGCACCCCCCTCACAGGTGTTCCTGACTTGGGCAGGGAGGGATCACTCCGACCCGAGCCTGGTTGGGGCGCAGGGCCCGCCTCTCTCAAGAACACACCTCAGCGTGCTCAGGGTCTCGTCGTAGTTGATGTCTGCGGGGCTCAGGGCCGCCACCATCGCCGTCCTCGAGTTCCCACCTGTGGGAAGAAGACCAGGCCGTGCAGAAGGTCAGCCCACGGCCTTGTTCTCCCCTCTCCGTCGCCTCCTACATTTAC